CCCTCCACGCAGCCTAGGAAACGACGCCAGAGTAACGGAAGTAACATATTTCCGACGGTGGTTTCGATATAACCTGAAGCTACAGCATCAGGGACGTTTATGTTAAGCACAGTTGCCCTTTGCTGCCTCACTTGTCGTTTTGGGGTAACACAAGCGCCAGTCCCTTGGCGATCCTGAACAACTGCACAGGTGAGACAAACTCAAAGCTTCATTCGCGAAATCGCAGATAGAATGTCAAGACGGTTCTCTGGGCGGTCTTTCAACCCGATTTCGCCACTTGGGAAGCAATCGATTCACATATAAATGTGTTGCCTAAGCTCTTGTGTCAACGCTAATAAGGGAACCAGGCCATACTACTATCGTTGAAATGAGGCAATCTGCTGAAACATCACCATCTATCAGCCACATACCAGAACACTATTGAGCGCGAGTGGCAATGGCCTCCGGAACTCAAGAGTCAGCTATTGCCGAAGGCCGCCAACTGTATGGCGCCAAGCAATACAAACCCGCTCTTAAGCAATTCACCAAAGTACGAAACCAATAGTGCACAGCCTGCCTGCTCACTTACTGACTATTCGCACCAAGGCAATGCAACTCTGCGTCTGTACTCGACGAGAGAAACGGCCACGATGTAGCTGTAAAAACTTCGAAAAGGTTGCTTCTGAGGGCGGCTCCATCTTCCACGAGGCCATGTATACCTGTGCCTGCACGGTGCGCAAGACGTTTAGCAAATGCGATAATAAGCTACACATACAAGCCCTTGACTACCGTGCCGCAACATTTGAAGAGATGAAGGAGCTTGAGAGAGCTCAAAAGGACGCCGAATGGATCCTAGAACTTGCACCACGGCTTCCAGATGTTTGAACCCCCCCCCCCCCCCCCCCCCCCCCCAACAAACACATTTCAACAGTATACTTACTTGTTCAGGGGTATTTACGGTTGGGCAAAATATCGCGCCTCCAAAAGAAATATGAATTCGCATGGAAACTTTACACTGCTGGCATCGAAGTCGGAAATAAACACCGTCTTGCTGAATCGCCTAAGTTTCAGGTACGGAGCTGTTTATTTATGCAACTGTGAATGGATTCATTACTGAATGGATGACAGAAACTCCGAGCCGCAAGACAACCCTTGCACATACGGTTCTATCGCAAAGACCCTTTAAGAAACCCGCAGGAGATCGTTCAGCGTATCTTCCACTACCTCGATTTCGGGTCTCTCGTCCGATGTACTGGTGTCTCCAGGGAATGGAGGCAGTACCTTACTAGTCATGGCAATGAGCGGTTGTGGCGTACCTTGTTCTTCAGAGAGAAACTTGCCCATGACCGGCCACCTGGCGTGAAGTCACTCAAGAAAATGATTTCTTTCTCTGGAAACGACGTCCGCCAGATCATTGTCGAGGACATATCTCGCTTCAGACTCACCCAGCACAAATTAGTTGCCCTCTTACAAGGGTCAAAGAACCTGGAGCATCTTGAATTGAGAGGTTCTACCGAAGAAGACCTAAGTATACCGCAAGCAAATGGTATACTTAAAAAGCTGAACCATATCATTCTGCAAGACATAATCATCATGAAGCCTCATATCATGGTATCACTCTTACAACATGCCCGTGAGAGCTTGCAAACTCTACACATTGACGGCTTACCCCAGATTGACTCGTCAAACGAGGCCATCTTTCCACACTTACCTAATCTTCAATATATGCGACTTGAAGAGCCTCGAAGGCCAAGTCCTTTCAGGCTGCGTATGGTGAGTGATTCTATTCTCTGAAAAATTGAACGCCTAACTGACCGAGTGTAGTGGCATCTGGCCTCAAAGACGCCACGCATGCAGCAACTATATCTGAAAGACGTTCAACTTTCTGGGGAGCTTCCCGCACATGCTAAAGTGGATGAATTTTGGCCACAACTCAAGGCAATCACAGTACATGGGCCCAACGATTCTGACCTGAACACTGCGCAAACAATCCAGCAACTAACCTCGCTACGTGGAGGCCGTACACTGCAATACATTGATTTTGATTTTCGATGGAGACCTGATGATGAGGGGCCCCTTGGCTTGATCATGTTGTCCGAGTTACTCAATCGAGAGCCCGAGATGCTGGCCACCGATGGGTATGACAAGAATTGCCAGTATTCAGATCTTCGGTCATTACGTCTCCGGCGAGCAATGGTACCGCCATTAAAACTGCAAAATGTGCTTCGTGATACTCTCACTTTGCACAAGCTCCATACTCTCGATCTTGCCTTCCCCCTCGATCCTCAAGGCATTCCTGAAGGATCTGGCAGTACCAAACACATCCAAGATCATGCCTGGTTACGCGGAGAGCCGGCTATTAGGTCTATCGGGCTTTCAGAATTCCGATTCCGCTCATATCCCAAGACCATCGACGAGATGTATCTGCCGAATTTTCTAGCCAGTTTCCCTAACCTCGAGACTCTTGAAATCAACTCGTCGCATTATGAGGCTCGCGAGTTGTGCATTATGATCGAAGCGATACTCAGGGTTACCCACATACAACGGATTTACCAGAAAACAATTCATGGGGAATGGGGAGACAAACTTCGTAAAGTGGCAGACATGCACGGGGTGGAGCTTATATGGGGTGACAGGCCGAGGGAATGGCCACTGAAGATAGATGGTTAGTCCCAATTGCCCCCATTAAGGCATTGCATTCAGAATATAACTTTGTATTTGCCATATGAGACACACTCGCGGGCTTTATGTGGAGGCGAAGACCATACATCGCAGGCTTGCGATTCTTGGCTGTCGGCCCCTCAAGATCACAGTATTGCATACCAGATAACATGAGACAAGTCTAATCACATGCTGTCAATCAATTCTCTTCCGAATGCGTTATATCGAGCATATCGTTTCTTCCTTCGATATAAGCCCAAAGACTTCTATACGGACGTTTCATACCCCGATCTAAGAACAATAATCCCAACGCCTGCCGTACAAATATGCATTCTGAAGACAGCAATGATAGCTAGAATATCTCAACCGACGATATTTGTAGTTCAGGCTCTGCCGACCTTGAATGATAGAACCTGAATGTGCTCCGTTAGCATCAAGTTGTAAAAATAGAGGATCACGGCCTACATCATTCTTGCCCACGGCGACAAAGTCGTCTTCGGATACTCGGATATTTCCAGCCCCCTCGACAAAGGCGATAGGTGCATCTCCCATCACTTTGCGAGCCACATCACCAACCGTGCTGCCTTTCTTGACAAGAACACAATCGCGGAAAACAAACTTGGAGTCCGATGCACCAGAACTGAAGGTGGAAGTATTCCGGACGGGGAAAACGGGCACGAGACCAAGGAGCTCAGCGGCCTTGGAAAGGACTTGAACGACGCCGGTAGATCCAAAGCGGTAAAGTACCATGTCCTTGAGATTCTCGATTCGATTACGATTTTTCTCATCGAGATCTTTGAGGCCGCCGCCGGTCGGGTCGCCTTGCTCTATAAGATCCTCCTTGGTGTCAATAAATTCGCTGCCTTCGACATACTTGATATAGCCTTGTTTGGCCATCTTTCGCAAGAAAATTTCTGAGATGGCTGAACATAACACAATGGTATTAGGGTCCTGTTGCTTGGCGATTTTGGAGATGTTTTTATCAGCGTCTGGGTGATCGATTTTGTTGAGTGCGATGACCGTAGGAAACTTCTCATCAATGAAGGCATTGACGACCAGCTCTACGGTCTCGTTGGACCAATCCTCTAAGGGTTCCTTGATGCCGCAGCGATCAAGAGCACGGTTCACGATAGTCGATGTCGCACCGTAACCGGAGAACTGTGCTTGCAGTGTTTCTGTAGCAGTAGCCTTGATAGCCTGATGCCTTCTTCGGATAGATCCCCATCGTTGCATGAGATTGCCGAGAACCCAAGCTATGATTTCGCTTCGTAGCCAAGCAATGTCCACGGAAGGATCATAGCCTCTTGTCTCCTTTCCTTCGGCATCGACAGTACCCGAAGCATCGACAACATGAATTAGAGCATCAGCATGTCGTAAGTCATCGAGAAACTTGTTCCCCAGGCCTCGGCCCTCATGAGCACCGGGGACGAGACCAGCAACGTCAAGAAGCTCAATAGGTACAGAACGACGGCCCTCAACGCAAGCTCCATAATTGGGTTTGCATCTGTCTGACACGTTATATCGGGCACAGGCACACTCGATTTGGAGATAACCGATTGCGCGCTGGGGGTCAATTGTGGTGAACCTAGAAAGGTCAGCTCTCGCAACAGCCACGAGCTTTCAGGGTTATAGGCTCCAAGATGGAGAGCGACAGAAAGTATAAGACAAGGGTGAAGCATACGGGAAATTGCCTGTTTCATTTCCGATCAGCGCCAAGTTCTAACAGCTTTGGCCAGGGTCTTTCTACCAACCAACTTTAGACGTAGCATCAGTTAAGCTGTTGAGCGTAGAGCTCTTACCAGCCGAGGGCTTTCCCACGAGGCCGATGAGTGGATCGCGAGGCATAGCGAAGAAGAGTTTTGCCCAGTCCAAGGACTTGAGAGAGGCTTGACTGAGGGTCAAGTCGCCAGATTCAACGCTGATACAAACAAAAAGACCGGGGTTTGCTTTCGTGGTTGGAGTTCAAGACAATATCTACGGATGTGGAACTTGTCTCTGACCAAATAACGGCAGAACACTGATGTGCCGGTTGATCCTTGTTTAGGTATGTTACCAAAAGGGCGGAAAGTACTCTACCGTAGATATAATACGAAGGAAATGAGTGTACGTGACTCCAGTTTCATCGTATGAAGTCTTCTCGGCGCAAAATTAGTTCTCGGCCAAAAGAGGCTGAAGTGGGTCTAGTTTCTGTGGTCGGTGGTAATAGCCCGGGTATTGAATGTCTGTATGAACCTTTTCCATTTGTCTCAGGCTTAGGTTGTGGCAAGCGTAGTAACTCAACCAACATTCTCTTGTTCAAAAAGCCTGAGAGCCTTTGCCTTTTCTCACCTAAACTTATCCCGGGCTCACTTTTTCGGACCATGGTTTCAAAATCAACCCTACCAATCGACATTTTCCCAACCTGGGCACGCTTGAATGATGTGGAATTTACCAACGCCAGATTGCAAGAGACGGATGGAAAGGGAATTGGCTTAGTGGCCACCAACAACTTGACAGCAAGTGCAGAAACTTGGGGACGTGAAGGAGCAGAGGACAGACCAGAGAAAGAGGGCCAAGTTTGCAATTCAGATGGAGAAAAGGGCGAGAGAGCTAGGGTAGAGACTCATGGTCATGCCAACAACCGCCTAAAAAAGATACTACAGGTTCCTCATGATTTGATCCTTTCAACCGCTTCCATCGAAGAGTATGCCAAGGTCGACCAAAACTTTCGTCAACTGCTGGAATCTGCAGGACATCAGGTATGTCGCTAGACCAGAAGACATCTGTTCTCCGATATAGCAATAGCCCTAGGCCCGCTGGGAGCGTGCACTAACAACCGCTGACTGTTCCTCATCAAAGTCGACCCGAGCAGATATTATGATGTATCTCTTGGCACATCTAGTTCTCTCCAGCCGAGATAATTCGAGCCCGAGAGACATTGTGCCAACGCCATGGACCGAGTACCTGAAGTTTCTGCCTCGTGATATCCCAGTCCCAACAATGTGGTCGGAACTTGAGCGAGCTCTGCTCCAGGGCACTTCGCTAGAGGTATGTGTTCCCACAAACACGCGAGCATAACCAGACCCGAGGGCTGCGGAGCCGCAGGCTTCTTTGCTGGAAGAGCGATTTCCCCGCAACGGCACAAAAGGATTCTAACTGCACTGTAGGCTGCACTGGACGCTAAGCTATCAGCTCTGAACAAGGAGTTTGATGAACTCATCGAAAGATCATCAGCTCTTCCGTTTTGGAACTCGTTCTTTTGGGGGGCAGAAGCGGTGACTATTAGCGATTGGGTATTAGTTGACGCGTGGTACAGATCTCGGTGTCTGGAACTACCGAAGTCTGGGCACGCGATGGTTCCTGTCCTTGACATGGCCAATCATTCGCACTCCCAAACTGCCTACTATGACGAAGACGATGAAGACAACATTGTCTTACTCTATCGGCCTGGTATGGAAATATCTATTGGAGACGAAGTGAATATATCCTACGGAGAAAAGTCGCCTGCAGAAATGATTTTCAGCTATGGGTTTATTGATCCCGAGTCCAATGTAGAGGAACTGAGTCTACCTTTGGAGTCTTTGGCCGATGATCCATTAGCAAAAGCGAAACTCCACATTTTTCGAGGATCGCCAACTCTTAAGCTATCTCGATCAGATGGGGAAATAAGCTGGCAATGTCCCTTCGCCTACTTGATGTGTCTGAATGAGGAGGATGGTCTTGAGTTCAGGGTCCTCCAAGGAACAAACGGAGACCGGGAGCTAAGGCTTTTCTGGCAGGAAGAAGATGCCACGGCTCGAGCGAATGATTTTGAAGATCTCATCAAGGACCACCCCCTCTGTCAGATCTTTAGGCTTCGAGCTGTTTCGGTCTTGCACGAAGTCGTAACCGACCATGTCATGCAGCTCTCTTCCGAGATTTCCCATGATGAACTTGAGCCATTGCGCCGGGCCGGACAGATCAGAGATGGCCGCCTCCAACTGGCTCAAAAGCTCAGAGAAATCGAAGCCAGTGTCCTTGAAAGCGCTGCCATAGCTTTGGATGAACAGGTATGTACTACCGTATTTCTTTTTCATTTCAGCACATCCATCCATGACCGATGATGCTGTTGAGTCGACAGCCGAGTGGTTCAGGAGACTATGACTTGCCACAGCTTTCCATATACATAGTTATGTTATTTTTCGAATTCCCATGTTTCATGTTTGCGGTCCTGGCCAAGCAGCACTTGAAGCAAACACTTCCCCAGATTCCCCGGAAACTCCCCCAGGTCCTGGAATGTCAGGCAACGTTCTCCGCATTCTTGGCTTATGTACTAGCCTGTATGTCCCGAAACCTAGCAGGAGGTGCTCGGTCACACACCGAGCTTTCTTTACACTTCTTCGATACGTCTGCTTGTACGATCCAAAATGAGTAAACGTTTGACTAACGAGTTGCGTCATCGGGACGGTACAGAGGACCCAACTTTTTGCGGACGACCACGTGGTAGCATATCTCGGATCGATGGAAGTTTCCCAAGACAGGCAAGCGTTTCAACCAGCGACCAATGAAGAAGAGGATTTCAGTTGACCGAAGCACACCTTACATCGGCTATTGTTGAGCATTGACCTTCTGGGGTTGTGGGGTAGCCAGCAATAGCATTGCTTCACCACCTTGCTTTTCTCTCTCTGTACCTTAGCATGAATGGCACCCGGCGTGACGAAGCTATTGCGAAATCATCACATTAGCATTCGCGTCACTTGAGAGAACTCTCGGCTTTCTGTTCACCTATCTATCGTATTGCTCTATCTCTTACAAGAGTCCTGTAGATTAGGCAGCGGGCAAGTCTCTGATAACTAGTATGCATGCACCTCCGTAGAATGCCATGCAGCCTCTTTCAACTTTTGGACTAACAAAACCTCGAGATGGCATCAACTGAGATTCGGGCAAATTCCGTTTGCAAAAGTCCATTGCGGGTTGAATCAATTGGAACAGTACTGAGAATGGTTTCCTCCTGCTACTTCCCTAGCCCACTATCTCTAGGATTCGCGAAAGCATCTGTAATGCTTTTGTTCAGGGGGTCTGCCCTGCGTAGTAACAGAGAAACAGTTGTGCCATACTTTGAGAGGACAATAAACCCCTGAATAGCCAGTGATGCCAGATCAACCAGAGCCCTCTTTCATTGCACTGCTTCGTAGAAACAGACGGGCCATAAACGTTCTGGAGACTTTAACGCAACATAGAAGCCGTTCAATTCATGCGCCGCCGAGATTGCTGAAGGAAAAATGCGTCCCTCTGCTTTATTGTGCAGGTCAAGAACAAGGCTTATCGAGATTGTTTATCCTAACAGAGAAATGCACATCCTTTCGGTTCCCCCAGATGTTCGCCAGGTTCAGATCCCCGTTGAACATGATCTACCTCCCGGGCGGTTCTCGTGGAGAAACGCGGAGAAAATGATGCCACGACAGAGTCGTGTATTAATCAGACACCTCTGTCTACACTAAAGACACGCCATGTGACCGAAATTCTATACAAAATCATCGCATAGGTAGGTACAGAGTATGCAGTATACTCCCCCGACAAGTTGCACAAATTACTATACAAGCCCCTTATTTTCTGACTGCATAACGAATGAAAATGGGACTCGGGAACGTCTTCATCCCGTCAGCAAGCTCATAGTTCCCCAGATAGATGTGGGCTGAATCGAAGAAACCACAAAATCGGCGAGCTGAGGATAATCATAAGCATACACGTGTTGCGGTGCGAACCTTTGGTCGAGTAGGTAGTTCGAAATTCTTTGTCTATCTAGTTACGTAGTATGCTGTACAAGATTACTGAGCCGGCCGTACCGAGCAATCATCCATGTGACCAGTTGGGTTGAAGATAGAAGTGGTGATGGCAAGTTGTGAGCATCGTCTCGGTAGGTAAGAAATGTTTGAGTTTCTAATGAAAAATCCCCCTGCTAACATATCTGTAGTGGTAGGATTCGCGATGCCTGCACCACGAAACCATAGACAATTCGGCCGGGCGTCTATTCGTGCTTGGGTTTCGAGATGAATGGCATCGGCCCCTATCAAGGATCTCCAAAAAGAACATTTCATCTAGAAGTCCCCGTCCATAATTGTATTTAATTATAGCTCGAGATAGTTAGGCGCTGTTGAGAAATGAAGCTTGCCTTCCAACAAGTTCGTTGTTGGTTTCATACCCCGAGTTCAACAGGTCCGTTTTGGCTATGACTAGTAGCAGGGTAGACTACGCTACAGTTTAGCTGCGGATCAGTGAGTGTCACTCACTGAGTGATCTGCGACAACCCAAGTCCCTGGTCAACGACTGCGGCTCCGAAGTGGGTCTTTTGCGGTTCCCCCAGGGCATGAGGCTTGAAGCTAAGCCTGATAGAGAAGCGATCTCAGGGCTGACAGTGTTTGACATGTAAACCAAAGACGTGGCCTGCTGATGGTTGTGCTTCGAGATCAACTGGAAGCTCGGGGCGCATGGCAATAGGGCGGGTCGGGGGTGGGCAAAGACGTTCGTTAATGAGGTTCGACCTAGCTCGTGTGAGCAACCCGCAAGCCAACCGATGATCTCCTCTTCACCTAACGCAGAGTTACACCAGAGGCTTCCACCGCGGTGAGTGTGCCGTATACCGTAATTTCTTGGTGTGATAGCCCCAGCTTTGCGGAGCTTTCAATTTCTTAGCCTCCCAACCTTACTTTGTGTTCTCTTACCTGTGCCGCTGTTGTATGGTTCTAATATCTACAGTTATGGGCCAGAATGGCTGGATCTGCGTGTGCGTGTCTCTATGCTGAGTCAGGAGCGTTGAGAAAACGTGTGAGCTAAAGTGGCTAATGGCCAGCCACATCTCTCGCCCGGTTCACATCAGTTACCCCAGAGTTCCCGGGAGGAATTAATGCTGGGATGCCCGGGCATATTATCCTGCCAGCACATACAGCATCATGATCAGTCCATCTCACGATCAAATCTGGGGTTATCGTGGATCTTGGGTGAACTGAAGGGTCCATCCACGATCATGGTAAACATATGCCGTTATGGTATCACCTTGTCCACGATCTGTCTCGTGGGATGTCTAGAGACCGGAGACGTGATACGGGTGCATGGGGTGGCTAAGTGCCTGCTTACTAGTCGAAACGGGAGCCGCTCTGCTTCTGCGGCTCCGTATGCCAGCAGCCAGTTGGCTTGGACCTATTTTCAAAGATTGTCAACTCAACCAAGCTAGTGAGCGCTATGTGCCAGCACTAATATCAACCTCGTGGCTCGGCGGCATCACAAAGGGGAAGCGTTGGCCTGTAAGCCACGCGTATCAGAGAACTACTACAGGCTTTGTTACCAAAGGAGGTTGCGAGGAGGTGAAGAAAAACTCGGTGATCGAAAGGGATGTCGATACTCCAGGAAGTGACTTGGGGGAGTTGATCATGTTCCGTCGGAGCCACAGTCTGTAGGCCAAAGGTGTCAGAAGAGATGGATAGAATATGGTTACTGAAACTGAAGATACAGGTGGTGCTACAAAGTGCTCTCACTATATTCATCACAGACAGAGATTCAACAAAATACCGATTAATCTGGGGTAAAGGACCCAGACCATAGCAACTACAACTCGGTAATTGGATAAGAAGCGGCCAGTGCCGGGTGGGTGTGATGCCATGGGCTGTTATGAACATGTCGGAGTGTTCTAGAGTTTTGCGAGTGGTGCCATTTTCTTACCCCAAGCCAAGGGTCACCAGTGGCTGAGCGAAGAATACCTGGAGCTGAAAACGACATCTGTATCCAGTGTTCAATTTCATATCTAGGTCACAGGTAGGTACCTTTCTTCGTGGAGGTTTATTGATCTTTACACTTTTAAAATACTCGTCTCCTCGTGCTGAGGAACTCAAGGTCAAAGATTGTATACCCCTTGGCAGTTGATAAGAGCTAGGGTCGTCGGCATGTTAATAGTCACTGAACAGGGCATAAGTGGTAAACGGGACCATATATAAAGCACGAGACGTAGTCAGAGGAAGATGCCCTTATGGAAGAAGCTTTTTTCTTCTTCTTGGCAAGGTACGTAAAGCCCTGGCAGCTTCTGTGTTGGGAGCTCGTGTGAGAATGCATATATCAGACTCAGATTACCGCCGACACTTGCAGAACAAAATAAATGCAACATATTGCAACTCAATATTTGAGTACTAGTGAATCACACATAGTAAGTTTTAGTCTTAGATGAGGAGTCTGGCATTAATCTGTTTGCCTTTCCGATTCTTCTTCATATCGCCTCTATTGCTTGTCCTTGTGTTCTAAGTTTTTATAACCATTAACAACCAACTCTAGCAAAGGAAAAGTCTCTTGATCTCTTAACACTTTTGACTCTCAAGTCTTCTGGTATGTGGGAAGGGGCAATCTTGCTAATGAATCGAGCTGAGTCGAGTTGAGTTGTATCGATATTTCTTCATTTGTAGTATCAATGCACAAGCCCACGTTTTCTTCTACACGCCCTTACTAAAACGGATTGGATGTCATCATGCACACCCCCAAGCCCAGCATCTCACTCACACACAAATGGTGCTAAATGGACGCTGCGGCTGTATGTACTCCATGTACCTCTCAGCTTAACTCGTTAGCGCATAGCATATCTCGGTACCTCTTGAATGTCGTTTTTGGAAGGGTGTGAAGGAGCTTTGCCAGAGTGGTGAGGTGAGCGAGTTGAATCGAGTCAACGTATTTTCCCCAGTGGGAACCGCTCATGCTCTCGCACTGTAACAGGTAGGGCTTCATTTGGATTTGCTGTGCAGAGGATATCACCTTACCATCTGATTCTCGGGCATATACACCTTTGCAGCACGGCAGACTCGATGGCAACCATTCCCTCCCTGTCCCTGAAAAGTGAAGTGGTATCATAAAGTCGTGCACTGTATCCATCGCCATGATCCTCGCCTGCCCAGGCCCATGGACCGGGCCTGGCATCGGCGTTGACATTGGGATCAAGGATGCCAAGAGCACGCCCCCATCCCCAGATTTCTCATGGTACATTCTCAAGTTCGTTCATTGCCTAGGTTGCGTGAAGGTCGACCAGGTCAATCGAGAACAAGCATGGCACTGACTGGCCTCTCCACTGTCCCTGGGCCTCCCCCAGGATTTCCACTTCTTTCTCCACACCTCAAAGAGTCAACGACCGGGCCCATTCCCGTTTCCTCGTTTTCTACTAAATCTTGCTCTTTCCCACCCTGAAGAATCTGAATCCTCTCATCTTTCCCACTTTCACGTTTGCATCTTTACCATTATTTTCTATCTCCATTCCGGTCACCTGGACTCGTATATATATTCATATCAGTCCTACCTCATCGTTCTTCTTCAAGATACCCAATAGCAAAAGCCTACCTACCTTACCTACTATACCCGCCTACTTCACATTACCGCGTCTTTAAACCCCACCAACCAAGTCACTAAATCACAATACGCCTGTACTCACCTACCTAGTCCCGGTGCTAAAATCACTCGACAAGACCTCGGCTATCACCATTCGACATTTCGGAATTTGACCGTTTCAAGGACACAAGACATATCGTATATAAGGAACACTGCAATAGACGAGCAACCCTGGCACCCACATCACTGACCAGTCTCCTCACTTCGGCAATTTAGCCGCTTGTTCCACCAAGGTGCCATCAACTTAACACGACCCAAACCCTTCACCTACCTACACAGAACAACTACCGCCAAGATGCCCGGAATTCTTCCCATGAAGGTGATCAAGGTGGGCACCAGCTCTCAGAGTCGGATTGCACAGGCCTGTGATCGTTGCAGGAGCAAAAAAATTCGATGTGATGGAATAAGGCCAACATGTTCTCAATGTGCCAACGTCGGCTTTGAATGCCGGACAAGCGACAAGCTTAGCCGCCGCGCATTCCCTCGTGGCTACACCGAATCTTTGGAGGAGCGCGTGCGACAATTAGAAAGCGAAGTTCGAGAGCTTAAGGACTTGTTAGATGAGAAGGACGAGAAGATAGATATGCTCTCGAAAATCCATGGCAACCGATCCAGTCCTTCAAAGCCGGCGAGCAGCCCGGCTGCACCAGAGTCTCGAAATGAAGCCCTGGCCACAAAAGAAGATACTTTCCGCGTACAAGCTGCACCTCTATTACTTGGAGTCGAGAATTCCGACTCTTATTTTATGGGCGCGTCTAGCGGCAGAACATTTATTGGTACTTGTCTCCATCCTTTCCTATGAGTCAACGCAACTGACACCCTCGGCAGAGTCTTTCAAGCGAAAAATTCAAGAAACAGGCAAACCTAGCACCGACTTCAACCCAGAGGCGTTCTTGCATATCCAAGGCTGCAAGCCCCTTGGTCCCAGATCACCGGAGCAATCTTTTACCCTTCCTCCTCGTCTCTTCTCTGACCGCTGTGTCAATGTTTACTTCCAAGAGTGGGCTCCTCTGTTCCCCATCCTCCACAAGCCCACATTCCTCCATATCTACGAGGAGTTCGTCGCCGATCCCGAGAAGATCAAAGGCAACTACAAGCTCGCGCAACTCTACCTCGTCTTCAGCATCGCGGGTCTGTCATCAGAGAACCCTGACCTTCCCCAGCTTGCTGCATGTGAGCAGCAATGGCAAACCTCCCTGGATGCTGTTCTCATGGAGGATACTATGAACACCTTGCAGTGCCTGTCTCTCGCCCTTCTTTACTGCACCATGCGTGCAGACTACAAGCGATTACAGCACTATAAGGGCATCGCTGTTGGCCTCTCTCATCGCCTGGGCCTGCACCAGAGTCAGAAGAGATTCTCCTTCGGTGCTCTCACCATTGAGACACGAAAGAAGGTCTTCTGGACCATTTACACCCTCGATTGCTTTTCTGCGGCTACTCTTGGCCTTCCCAAGCTTCTCAAAGAAGAGGACATCCAGACCGAGTATCCATGCGATACTGATGATGAGTATGTTACTGAAAAGGGCTTCCAGCCTACACTTCCTGGTGAATATACTCGCCTTTCGAGTGCACTAGCCTTGTTCCGTGCAACTCGCATCCTCGCCAAGGTGCTAGAGAAGAACTACCCCGCCTCAAGCTCCTACGAGATTTCGCTTCAACAGATGGCTGCTCTTGAGAGTGAGCTTGATGCTTGGTATGACCAGCTGCCTACCCATCTGCGACTGAACTTCGTCCAAGATAAGCCATCCACAGATGTGACTGGTAGCCGCTCACCATTGCTGGCACTGGCCTACTACTACATTCGAACACTTATCTATCGTCCGGCAGTAGGCTCCAGTTTGGGTTCTAAGGCAGCCTCGGCCCTAATGTCAATCGGAGCGTCGAGCAAGCACATCGTTCAGATTGTTCAGCTGCTTGAAGAACGCGGGATGACCTTCTCATTTTGCTTGAACAAGACGGATCTGCTGGTTGTTTGTGGTATGGCGCTGCTCTACCACTCAATTGATCTCAAGCAAGACAGCAAGCTCATGCGCGATGACGAACGATTGGTAAATGCCGTGATTCATATCCTGGATAAGACTGAGGGCTCTGGTTCGCTGGGCTTTAAGCGTGTGGCTAGCATGCTGGTCAAAGTTGACGAATCCGCTGTCTCGCCAATGCACACTTCACGTGAGGTGTCGATGCCACCCGCGCCCGTCTCCAGCCGAGGGTCGCCACCAAGAGGCATGGTTACCAAATCCAAGAAGAAAGGCAGGGCAGCCTACCCCCTCGGTCAGCTCCCAGCCGCTGCAGCCAGCGAGAGCAACTTAATTGATCACCAGGAGAGGATGCGTCGCATGACGATGCCCTGCGTTGCCGAACAGCGACCTGAGTTTTACCGTGCTCGGGGCCGTCAATCATTTGACAATCTTCAGGCCGAGGTTCCCGTGCTCCAGCGAGGACATCGCATGTCGATGTCCCCCAACCCAGAGCGCAAGACTCCCCCCCTGTCCCGCAATCTCGACTTCATGCCCTTTGCCCACTCATCACAGTCACCACAACCAACGTCGCCGCAGCAGACACGTGCACACTCCCATTCTGGCCCTACAAACCAGGTCCACCACATGATGGAGAGCTCTTCGGTTGCTGCCGCTAAGGTGAACGGGGTTTCAACGACTGAGTGGGAGACATTACTTGGGTCATTGGATGGTGGAATGAATAATGTATACGATGCTATCTATGGTGGACAGGGACTTGTGAACGAGAGCGCAATTGCTGTCAGCAATTGTGGTGATTGGCCCCCGGACAATTGGGACCTCGGCGGTTTCAGCATCGCCGAGTTTGGTAACAACCCACAGCCTCCTCAGAGCGTTCTCAGCATGAGTGACGAGAGCCTTAGCTCGGGTGAAGAGGTCGGCCCCTCGGAACTTGGACTGAGCGTGGAGAGCGTTGACTATCGCAACCACATGGTGGCTCAACAACATGGTCATGAAGGATATATGATGCCCGACCATATGGAGACGTTTCCTATCTTATAAGGGTGGTGGACAGAAAGATACCACAGGAGAAAATCTCTGGATTCAACATGGGTCTGACAACGGAGTTAATACTGGGGACATGAATTTTAATGATGTGATGAATAGTCAGGCTGGGAATTAACTGTCACTGAGTGTTTTTTCTACTGAGCGATCTACTTTTATTGGCTAACTATTATACCTGGGAGGAGAAATTTGTCAGACACTTGGTATTCTGAAGTCTCTTATCCTCTACAAAGGAACTAGAGACGTGGAACAAGGATGATGGGCAGTTCAAGGACTGGCCTCGCAATACGGCATGCTAGATCATCTAGTTGTTAGTTCGTAACTTGCAAATGAATGAAAAGAACGCAGACAAACCAGCCCATTCGTCCAGCAGTTCAGAAACGTGATATGAATAGGCAGTTGATTTATTCGTTGGCTTTGAACGGCAAGGGAGCTTTTCTGGCAGCTGCCCATCACACGTATCTGGCTTTACCGGCTGCCCGGTCTTGCAGGAAAGAGAATCGGCGCCTGCTCAAGCCTCAACAAGGGAGCATTGGACCGGATCTGACATGCGCTGCCGGTATCTGAACCGGATGGGCACAGGATTGGCTGTAGTCGGTGTGCCTCGGGACATGACCCGGACGTGCGTCCTATAATCTCGTGCTAAGTACTATGGCATGGCCCAGGCACTCAGATAGTCGACCCTGCTCTCAGTCTTTGTCTATTATCAGGCTCAATCTCGACTTCCAGACCTCCCTGGATCACCTCAGATCACATCAAGAATCACATTGGAAGTGAGGCTAGGTAGCGAAGCCAAGTGTGGCCGTGCACAATAGTAGGTCCCTTGGTACCTAGGTAAGGTAGCTATTTAGGTACCTACTAATTCAGGGGCGGGATGACGTCTCCAGGTGAATCGGCCTGTCACGACACCCCATTCTCTATTGATCATGGCCAACGAAAGCACATGGGGGCCCTGGTCTTGAGTTGAGTTGTCTCCATAATCGATTCCATGACCTTGACTTTTCTAAACAAGAAATTGTGTATTCGTCGATCTGTTTGGTCATTTCAGCCATTCCATTGGCAGGGACTCTATTGCGCTGCTAAATCCTCCTCAACTTGGCTTTATCGGTTTCCACAAACGTCGACAATGGAGGCGGAACGACAGTCTTTAATCAAGAACAGCGCCCAGCCAGGGCCAGTTCCTCAAGGTCAGACACGCCAACGAGAATAGAAGCCGTTGCAACACCGCTAAATTCACCTCGTACCAGCGCCATGGGCTGCCGCCAGACCGTCACCACGAGATCCTTCTCGGCGACTCCCACAAGCAATTGCTCATCGCGGCGCGAAGCTTGATTGGCCCGAAAACACCATGGCCGCCTTCCGAGGTGCAGTCAAAGCTGGTGCTCATGCGATAGAGACCGATATTCATATCTCGGCCGATGGTGTTGCTGTGATATCACATGTAAGTTAGAGCAGTAGCTTCGCTCTCCTCCATGACATTCATTGCATGCTAAGTATCTACATCACAACTTGGCGCGACTAGGCTCGGCTCGGCTCAGCTTACACTTGAGCAGGATGCATCCCTCAAACGCTGCTTTGGCATCGAAGCTCGCATTGGAGAGTGCTCGTGGGAGTATCTCAGCACTCTACGAACAGTAGCCGAGCCCCATGAACCCATGCCGCGGCTCAAGGACTTTCTTCAGTGGTTGGCTCAGCCGGAAATGCAAGACATTTGGGTGGTTTTAGATATCAAGGTCCGCTGCATCAGCTCAAGCTCAAGCATGTGTCATGAGACGGAAGCTAATGCAGGCCCCCCAGCTGGATGATGACCCGGCAGAGTTGATGGCTGCAATTGCAAGGGATCTAGACGGCGTCCAGGCACCTGTGCCATGGAATCAACGTATTATTCTGGGATGCTGGAATGTAAGCTGACACCCTTAGCACAGTTCCTACACTCCTTTCACATAGACGCCTTGATGATGTCGCAGCTGACATGCTTGAACAGGCATCATTCCTACAGGCTGCGCGTAGTCAACTTCCAACCTATCCATTGGCCCATATCAGCATCTCCCTCTTATATTCACACCACTTTCTGCGTGTACCCAACCTCGGCTTCAATCTCAACCACAAGACTCTCATCGGTCCATCAGGAAGACTCTTCTTACGCGAACTTCGAAAGACTGACAAGCTTCTTATGACGTGGACAGTCAACGAACCTCGCCATATGGAATGGTGTATCCGTCAGAATCTGTGTCATCCACGGCGCCGCAATGAAAAGACCGAGAGGCCTGCCTTGATAGATGGTGTCATCACTGACAATCCTCGTCTGTACCTCGAGATCTGCGAAAAGTTCGAGAACGAGATGGATGGCAAGCTCGCCAGACCTAAGCTAGCTCTCACTGAAAGGATAAGGAAAAAGGCAGAGATGGTAGCCGTCGTTATCCTGACGGAGACCTTGATGATGGCCTACCATGTTCTCAGAAGGATGCAGGGCAAGTTTGATTTCCTTCGAGACCGCCAGAGCTTGGATAAATAGTAGACGAAATATGACGAGTGATAACAGAAAATCATGCCACTGGTGGCCTAGGTAACGGTTGTCTTTGAAGACAACAACAAAGCTTGGACAACTTGCTGGCTTTGTGGGCTACGCTAGGCTTACATTTGCCCACCCCCCTTGATGGCCTAGGGTGTTCACAATCAATATATGCGGTTATTCATACCAGAACTACCCTTGGGGGTCTAGCATCACCACATGCCGACGTAATAACCATGACACAGCAACCGTTGAATCGCCAGAACTACGGCGACTGTCCACCAAGGTCTACATGGTCACAGACCCTTTGGGCTCAAGTAAACTTTGTGTTAAGATATGGATGTAATCCGCCCTGCCCTGTCTCTTGGTTCTAGACGTAACGCACTGTGTAAAATGACAACCAAAACGCTGCTCATGATGCTCCGCCCCTGTCTTTATGTTCCCCATCAAATTTCAACGTCAATATCCAGGTCTAGTGACCCAATTACATCGTCGTCCATCAACGGCTTATGTATAGTAGGGATACCCTTCTCCTTGTGTTTCTCCTCCTGCAGCTTTGCAAGATGAGGTAGTAGTTGACATTTGCCGTCCGCCTTCGGTGTGCTAGTCCCAGGAGTGTTGGTCCCGCTGCCGTTGGCCGCTGGCTTTTGTTCCACTTTCTCGTTAGCGTCATAAACGAACTTGGCTTTGGTCCTAAGTCGTCTCGACATATCACCCTGGTAGGTTTCACCACGTTTGAGGGCTGCCTCTATCTCCTTTGACTTCGCTCTCTCCTTCAACTGAGCCTTTCGTACAGCTTCCGCGTTCAGTCGCCGGTTCTCTTTGTTACGCTCAGCCAGTCGATCTTGCTCAGTTTGGGCCTTGGGTACTTCGTTGTGCTTCGAGGCGCCCAGACTCGTCCTGAATGCTAAGCGTTGTGAACCAAGATTGTCGAGCTCCTCCTGTAACTCTTCGGCCTTGTCGTGCTCGCCACGTTGTCTTGCTTCCTCAAGTAAGTGGGCCATGCGTTCTCGCTCGGCGGGGTCAAATCGCCTTTTCAGCTCTTTTATCCGAGCAAGTCGAGCCTTGATTTCCTCTGTGGTCCATGAATGATTAATCAAGCCGTTGATCTCATCAATTTTGTCCATCAGGTAAGCCTTGCTTGGGAGTGTCACGCCCTCATTATGGCATGTGACCTTGTATCGATTGAGCTCGTTCTGTGGCCCCAGTTCAGTATCAATCCAAGAAAGTAGTTCTAGTTCAACATACCTCTGTGAACTTTCCGCTTGAGGCAGCGATGAAAGGAAACTCCTTGATTGCCTTACCATGCGCCGCCTTGACATACTGATCTGTGACGAACGCGCCATTGGGTCCCTGAAGAGCATATGGACGACTGGTCGTGAAGCCTATGAAAGATGTTAGTCCACATGTTGTACTGTACTAATGGTTACATACCTTTGATGGCGGCCATGCGATACTGCTCAATGCCACTTTCAGGATGCGGTCCAAGAGCAATACGTATATAACATCCAGTGATAGCCTGCTCGAATCCAGGAGTGAAGCAGACCTGAGCAAACTCGTTTCGCCCCAATCGAACACGTTCATAATCGCGTAACTCAGCTGGCGGTTGATCACGATTTTCGTCGGCATCGGGAGTTGGGGAGCGTCCGCGATTATAGTCATCGTCACTATCCTCTGCCCCAGAGTTGCGTCTACGTGGAGAGTAATTATCCTTTCGTCTCTCGAGATCCTCCCGTCGGCGTGCTTTCTCTGCCTTGGCTTGGCGCAAAGAGTCCATCGCGGTCTCCCTCTTACTCTCTGTACGCGGCCGTGATGCCTTTCGATCGCCATCTTCCAGCTCCGCAGTTCCAGCACTGCGCTTCTTTTTGACCTGCTTGCGCTCCTCATTCTCCATGTTGCTCACCATCTGACGGAGCAGGCGGTTCTGTCGCTGACGCTCTATGTCCGTCATACGCTCAGCAATAAGCTGCTCGCGTTCGAGTTCTGGCAAGGCCATGATCTCTGCCTTTTCCTTCTGACTCTTGTATCGACCATCAATTGGGTAGGCATCATCGTCGTCCTCCGCAGCCGCTGCTCGACCTCGGGATGGTTCGTCATCGGAGTCAGATTCATCCATAGGAGCGGACTCAAGAGAGTTTGGCGTCCCTGGCGCTGACCTAAATCACGATGGGTCAGCATACTGTAAGTATATCGCAGTGATCTGGAGGAGCTGTAAACAGGATGCGGATTAGGGGGCCAGGACAGTATTCAAGCTCCAGATCATCATGCTACCACTTTAAGGAATACCACTCACGCCTCGCCCTCCTCCTCGGAGTCATCGTTTCCTCGTCGCGACTTCTTTCCTGCCCCTTTCTTGGAACCACTTCGTTTCGCTGGAGGCGGCGATGGCGATCCGCCCCTGCTCTCGTTGCCAGAGGCTTCATCATCAGAATCCCCGCCTGCGAGAGCAAGAAGCTCGTCGTCAACGTCAGACATGGCGACCTTGTGGTGAGCCAGTAATCACACAGAACACAATGGCTTGAAAAGACAACAATTGTATGCCCAGGCGCAACCGCGTTCTACGCGTTTTAGGTGTATTGGGTGAGAATTTGGCGACGGAAAGGGCTCGAGATGCGTAATCGTGCGCGCGGGAGTTGGGCGATGGAAGAGGCGAAAGTGGATGGAAGAGAAGAGGATTGTGCGTAAAGCAGAAGTGCACAATAGCTTCTCCTTCAGCACTTGTTCTGAATTCGTGGTTTCCACCCAACACCTCATTGGTCAAAGTTATGTCATGCCGGGGAAGCTTTAGTCCGCTCTCGGTGAGCGGCCTGCTCACCGAGAATGTCCAGGCTCATCATTCGATTTTCGGGTCCGCCGCCATCAATTGATGGTTGAGAAGTAGGCCAGAGCTCCGTGTAACAATTATGTCTATATCCAGAACTCTTGCCAAGCCTCTGCGCTCTCTTCTAGTGCGATCAACACCACGTCTTTACAAGCCATGTGTTCGCACCATCGCCACGGCTCCAGCCTCAGTCTCAACGTCTGGGTCTCCCAAGAAACTCAAAGCACTCACCCAGGAGCAACGTGATTTTCTCGACTCAGCTGTATGACTTCCGAGACGGGTTTATTTGATTGGTGACTGATATACTGGTAGCTTCGTGTCAATCAAGCTGGTGAACTTGCTGCAGTTCTCATTTATGCTGCCCAGTCACCCATCCTTCTCCGATCAAAGCCTCATCTGCGCAAGCTGATGGCGCACATGTATGATCAAGAAGACGGCCACTTTAAGACCTTTAATGGCCTCATTCACAAGCATCGCATTCGCCCTACTGCTCTGTACCCTTTGTGGTCTGTCATGGCTACTGGCCTAGGCTGGTCTACTGCTATGCTCGGCTACGAAGCTGCGATGGCTTGCACAGAAGCTGTCGAGACAGAGATTGGTGGCCACTACAACGAACAAATTCGGACATTGTTGGAAATGGTTACGCAATGGGAAGCCGAGGGCTACGAAGTCGGCGAGGAGTTATCAGATCTTGTCAAGACCCTCAGAGTGATACGAGACGAAGAACTGGAGCATCTCGATCATGCTGTAGCGCATGATGCACAAAAGGCAGAACCCCATTGGCTTCTCACTGGCGTCATCCGCGCAGGCTGCCGAGGTGCTATCTGGGTAAGCGAAAAAGTTTGAAGTCTCAAATCAGATGTATTATAATTGTAATAGAGGCCTACACGAGGCTCCATGGACAAACGTGTATGAATAAGAACTACGAGATAGAAAGAAGCATGCGCGTGTGAGAGAGGATGGGCGCGCTTGTCGAATGCTTCATATGAATAAAGCGCAACCCCCCTGATCAAATTCCTTGCCATGCCTTTTGCAGAGTTAAGAGTCAGAATACACCCATCCCGAAGAGAGCAGGATCAAGAGCACGTTTAGTTGCTTCATTTTGTTAGTATTCTGCCGTTCATTCGAAGAGCTGGACTTACTAAATTGCCAATGGGGCAACGCCGTCGACTTGGTAACCCCAGTTCCCGTTCTGCTCTTCCGTAAGGAGCCAATCATAAGGGAACTGCACGATATTGCCCTGGACCATATTTAAAAGCTCTTCAGCCTGCCCCCGTGATGGCATGTCGTCGATACTAAAACCGCGTCGGCTATTCTTAGTAGTTGCACGGCGTCTGCGTTTCACTGAGCCAAACTGCCCCGGTGGAGGGGCATTGGTATCTCTTGAGGACGGTTTCTCGAGCGTCGAAAATGTAGTGCGCCTCTCTCTGTCCTTGGTACCTGTCTGTGGGTCAAGGTATCTTCCACTACTGCCTCCATCGAAGGCAGGGAATGGGGTGTCTCCGGGCGAGTAGACTGGGGATGGTGCCTCTGTATGTTGATGTGCATCGGGCCCATTCTCATTCTCCAGCCCAGTGGTGGGTCGTGATGATATAGCCTCGCCGTCTTTCATTGCTTGTTTTTCATCAGTATCACGCTGACTCTCGTCGGGAATGACGATTTTGATTCTATCCTCCTCATGGTGGCCAAGAGGGAGCTTCTCGGCCATTCTTCCGATAGTCTTCTCCGCTTCAGTTTCAACGGCCTTAGCCATCACCTCTGGTCCTGGTGCACTGACACCAGCACCACCCGCTGTGGATCCACGATGTCTCGAGGATGGAGGAAACTCCGAGTCTTCACCTCTTGATCGGCCACCTTCCATGCTTGCCCGGAACCTCTCGCCGTAGGTCGTGTACTCTCGATATTCTGCCCAAGTGCTCACTTCGGAATCAGGCATACAACGGAACACTCGGCGATAGAGCTTCGTGTTGTTTTGAGCAGCCCGGTTCCAAATGTCGTCAATAAAGTTGGGGTTGACTGGATCTACCATACAGTCTTTATCAATGTGTGCTAGATGAATATCTGCGGCCATCGGATGGAAAACACCATTGACCGGTTTTCCCGTTTCAGGATCGATATGTAGTGGAGGGCCGCCAATGTCAGTATCGTCGCTTATCGGCAAAGACGGTAGCTGTGCGGGACGGGGCAGACCAAGTTGATCTGTAGTGCGACGATTCAGAGCTGGTACAGGGGGTAAGCTGTCGTTGTGGGTTCCTGGGTCCAGATATCGATTATCGGGTTGGGGACTGTGTGGTTGTGTTTCTTTGGGTGATTGCAGTGTCCCCTTGCCTTCATTGCTGATATTGCTAACAAGGACTTCGCGACCGTTGATGATAACAGAATCGCGGCCAGCATCAAGGCCAGATTTCTCGGCACTCTTCCAACGGTCAGGCCCATAGCCGGTCACGTCCAGCTCATGCTTCACCTTATCCTCTGCTTGATTGATGACAGTACTATCCACTTCTGCGTTACTGTCACTGCCGCTGCTGCTACTGCTGCTGCTGTCGTCTTCAACCTCAACAGCAGCATCTAGATCATGGTTAATACTTGGAACGCGTAGGTGATCGGGGCGTTTCGGTGAAAGCTTTGAGGAATCGGCAGGACCACCATTCTCTTCATTATAAATATCCTCCATCTCTTTCTCGAAATCTTGACGGTCAAGCTCTGCCTGGCGCTCTTGCTCAAGTATTTCGTCAACGTCGAGGCCGAGATGTTCCCGCATCAGTCGAAGTCGGAGTGTGTGAGCAAAACGGCCAACTTGGTACGGTCTTCCAGCCATTGTCGAGTTGATCATGTCAGTATCTCGAACGATTGCAGCACACTCCGAGTCACGGAGACCAAGCATTGAGCGCTCATTGATGTTAGCGGAGCCGATAAGAGCCACGCGGTCGTCAACGATAATTGTCTTAGCATGGATGTAGAGTTGCTCGGTGACAAGGACATCGTTACTCATGACTCCCCACTGACGAAGCGAGTAGAAGGCGATGTAGTCTTCCGGCTCAATGCCAGCGGCTCGAAGCCTGCCAAAGATGGACTGTTCGCCTCTACAAATACTAGCGTACTGACACATCAAGATCAGGCGAACACTTGTACCCTCCTGTTCATCGACTGTATTTTGAAATCCAGGCATGAGGGGAATAACAATAACGCAACGCCAGTCTTCGTCATTCTCGTGAGCCCGTATGATTCGTTCAACAAGAGCGTCGCCGATACGATTCACAATTCTGGTGTTATAAGCCTCGGTGCTCGTAATGAAAAACTGGTTTTCCATGTAGACAAAATGATCTGACTCCTCGATCATTTTGATGTATGCATTCTGAATACTGTGCTCAGTCTGCTCAATCCCCAAAGACCAAGCGGCGGCAGATCGAAGAATTTGGACTTCGCAAGTGCCTGTTAGACCAAGCTCCTTCAACTCATCTACGTTAGCGTCCGGCGGGGGAAGCAGGAAGGGTAACGGGCGTGTAGGCTTCCGTCCTCGGCGAAGATAGTTCCAACGTTGGACGAAGTGGCGCGTCAAGTCTCTTGCAGGCTGGCCCACAACTTGCATGGCAACGTCATGCCAAGGCATGCGAGGTACTTTGCTTCGATCGTACATCTCCTCATACGGCTCGTTGAGTCTGAAGAAGTCCTGCACTCGAGGATTTGAATAGTCCTTTCCGGGGAATAACTGACAATGCTCTGCATCCTTGGGTGTCTCGGACATCTCAAATCCAGTTGGTTTGTCGTCGACGATAGGATGCTGAGGACAATCCCATCGTCCAAAGCACAGATCAATTCCTCCAACAAAGGCTACATCGTGATCCACGATGCAAATCTTCTCGTGGTGAGCGAAGAAGAACTGGTTCTTCTTGAATTGGTTGGGGGATCGTTGTACAAAGATGTTAGGGTGGAGGTTCAACAATGAAAACTTAGTATACTCCGAATCTATCGGAACGGCTGCTTCGACGTTTCGGTATACGATGACAAAGACTTTAACACCTTCTCTGGCTTTCTTCTGCAGCAGTCTATCCAGTCGCCATTTCTGGCTGATAGCTGCTGGTCTACGCATGTACAGCTCGGGGCTAAGCCACCAATCGTGAATGTAAATGACATCGCGAGCCATATTAATAGCTCGAGAAACGTTCCACATATAGTCGCGGCCGTCGACGAGCCATTGGGCAAATACATGGTTTCGCACAGGAGCGAAGCTGTCAAATCGTTTGTTCTGATACCAAGGAGTTTGCTTGAGCATCTGATTGATGGAGTCCTCAAACTGCTTCATCACGGATTGGTTGCGGGAGAAGAGGCGGACCTTACGTTCTGATGAGCGAAGGGTCATAGTGTGATGTTTGTCAGGGGGTGCCTCGACAGTCAAATCGATCTCGGCCTTCTTCTCAGCGGAGCCAATAGCCTTGACCTTACTTCGCTTTGAGGAAATACTGAATTTCGAATCCACTAGATACACATCAAAAATGTTCATGTTTTCGGGGGACTCTACGCAGACGATATAGCTCTGTCGTACGAGGAACCATTTCCGACTGTGTCGAGAGATAACCTTCGCTGGTGTCAGAGCACGGCGAAAGTCTAGACCCTTCGATGGTTGGATATGAAGGTAACACTCCTTTCCGTGGTA